TCTGTTTGGATGAAGGAAATAATTTGGACATTTACAGGTTAATTACGTACAGAGCATTACTTTAACTAGTGTAACTTCCTTTCTCTTATTTTCTACCTTTATTCAGATGTTTATAAAATGTGCCGACCCCCTTGGGTTATATGTGTGCTCTCTGCCAATGCAATGTGAGTTTCATGTGTTTTTATGTGCCCTTTACAACTTTAGATGTTTATTTTACAAATGAGATGTACTTTACACGTTTATTTAAATTCATAGATAAATGGAAGTTGTGTAAATGCCTTGTGAGCATATTAAGGACCTCACCAACAGCAGCCAGTCCCCACTGCCTTCCCGCTTGTCAAATATACCTGTGGTGAATCTCTTGGTCCTGCTCAGCAGAGTAAAATATAAGCTGCTCACAGCTTTAGCCTTCTCATCAGTTCCTCCCCATAAAACATAACTTGACAGAAAAATACTCATTTGAAAAATAACACCTAAGAAACAGTATCTTCAGGTACAAAACTCACATCCTCTTATGTACAAATTTAAAATCTAAAGAATATGAAAAAGTAACTTGTTTATCTTCCTATGCTGTGTGATATGTAATTTCACTTCTAAAGTAATCTTCTAAGCCTGTAGTGTATGTATAAAGATTACATAGGCTGAGACTCATAGCCAACCTTTGGACAGAGTGTAGGTAATCTTATGAAAGAAAGGGGAGATAGAAAGACTTGGAGAGGACAGGAGTACCCCAAGGAGAGCAACAGAGCCAAAAAATAAAAATAAAGAAAGTAAAGACAAGAAAGAAAGAAGGAAAGAGAAAAAAAAAAAGAAGAAAAAACCTGAGCCCTGGGGGCCCTAAAGAGAATAATGTCCCAATCAAGGACAATGCATGGAGAGGACCTAAAACCCCTGCTCAGATATAATCCATAGACTCAGTCTCCAAGGAGCAGGGGCTTTCTCTGGCATTAACTCAGTGACAGGCTCTCTGATCACCTCCCTCTGGGGGGTGTAGCCTTGCCAGGCCACAGAGGAAGATGATGCAGCCAGTCCTGATGAGACCTGATAGACTAGGGTCAGAAGGAAGTGGAGAGGACCTCCCCTATCAGTGGACTTGGAGAGGCGCATGAGGGAGTGAGGGTAGGATTGGGAGGGAATGAGGGAAGGAGCCACAGCTGGCATACAAATTGAATAAATTGTAATAAATGATAATAAATTTTTTAAAGATTATGAGCTTTGAAGAGTTTTGAAGTCTTTGAAGTGTTAACACTAGGAAAGGAGTACCCCATCCTCCTTCCTCAACTTTTTCCATTGGGCAATGCAGTTCTTCCACAAATTAAAAAAAAAATGCGGATTCCATACGTAAGGAAGAGAAGAAAATACAAAACGGGGCTCACAAAATAATTAAGTGGAGAAATTTCATGTAGCTAAAAAGCATTCATCTTTATATCTTAACCTCTCCACCTCATCCCATTTCCTCAGAGGTTCAAAGTAAAATTTCAGGGTCTTCCGGTATGCCTCATCTACCCCAGGGAGAATCTGTTCTCAAGACTCAACACTTTACTTGGGCTTTTGTAGCAATCTCTTGCACATATTTTCTCCTTCCTTATAAACTGGGATTGACTGATTGCATGCTTGCATGCGTGCTTCTTTCCTTCCTTCCTTCCTTCCTTCCTTCCTTCCTTCCTTCCTTGATTTGCAGACTTCCAGCAGCCTAACTCCCCAAAGCCTTCCTAGGAAAGTCCTTCCCCACTGGGCTTTCTATTGGCTCCCTAAGAATTGTGCATGATACAAATGTATATTTATATTTATATTTGTAAATTTTTAGTAAAATATTTGTACCTCTTTATACCTCATCTGTAGTTAAGTGATACACATTGTGAAATGAGGACTGAGTTTTTTAGTGTGATTTTTGCCAAAAAGAAAGTAATCATTCAGTTTGTTCATTTACTTCAGAATATGTTCAAACTTTGGTAAAGGCAGGGAAGTCAACTACCACTGAGTTAATATTCAGAAGAGTCTTATAGAACGGGAAAATCCATAAGATTTTAAGATATTGAACAAGCTGTTTTTATCCTACCCAACTCTGATGTTTTTTACAAATGAGAATGAAATAGCAGTCCTTATTCCTTTAAAAAGTAAGGAAATATGATCTAGCTTATTTAAGAATTTTCTGTGAAACAAAGGCTGTCGTGTAGTTAGAAATTGAGGATCGTGTATTTTTTCCCTTATATTTAGAATTCTGACCTGGTCACCGAATGAAATAAAGAAATTATAATCTTTTATGTAAATATGTTTTAAATAAACTATTATAGTAGTACCAATTCTTAAATCCTTTGTCTTCATTCTTCTAACATACTAAAACCTCATAAAATGGAAGTCTCCTAAGCGTTCTCAATCCAAGAGAGACCCCGTGCTTCATGGTGGTATTGTATGCATTTTAAACTGAATACATATTCATAACGAAAATGACATTTCCATACTACATGAAAGAAGTTAAAGGTATAATATTTATTGTGGAGTTTAAACACTTGGTCACTGTGAATGCAATTTAAGATATTTTTAATGTTTCTAGGGAATCAGATCTATTTTCCTGCTGTTTTCAGAGCCCTTCAAATATGTTTGTATTCACTAGATCTGGACATTTCTGTGAAATTAATCAAATAGGGAATTTAATGTTCCTTGCAGATAATTTTGGCCATGTCCCGTTGGGAACTTCTAGTTTGAGTTTGTATCTTTCCTGGGAAAAGACCCCTGTGTTCCAGATTCTCATTCTTTTTCCTACATAACACTGAAGAGCAACAAACACAGTCAATATGCAAGGAATTGATAGCAATATGGATTTGCCAAGAAACCATGTGCTTCATCGATAAATATGAGAAAAATATTTAAGAATTTCATTTTACATGGAGTAGATACAAATTAATATCAAAATATTTAAAACATCATATTAGTTACTTGATCTACTGGTTTTTCCTAAATGAAAGCAATCTAGATTAGAGAATAAGAATGTATTCCAACAAACCCAGAGATTGTAAATCCCATTTTTTCCAAGGAAAGTTAGTGCTGATGTTCTTAGTTATAATGAAAATGACATGCTCCTTGCTTTTCTAGGTTTATAAAATAATTCTAAGTCTTACCCTATCCCTAGTTTTATATTTTTAAGTCAGTTTTCATTCTGGTGGAGGTAATTCCACTGACTCATGACTTACATATAAATATGGAGATATATATATGCTGGTTTTGCCCTGAATCCTATAGTTTTTGCTGCATCTTCATACCTGGGACACTACTCAACCAAAATCTTGAACTGAATCCTGCCAGCAGAGGAATTTTGCATTTCAGATTTGAGGGGAGAGTTCCACAAATGCAGAGTTCCAGATAGCCAAGGGTAGCAGGAAGCAGTTTTTAGCCTCATGATGTAAAACAGCAGGAGAGAAGTACATGGTACAGGAAGTCCTCAGGATTAATATGCAAGACCCTTGTTAGAAATTCAGCAGAAGATTTAGAAATAAAATGCAGTAAAAATAGCAATGCACTAAATTCAAGTTTGAATAATAAAGAATTGTTATTTTCATCAAATTCCACTTGCAGAACTGTGAGACAGTTATGTAATGCCAGTTTTAAACACCCTTCTACAGGTCACATTGTTGTGTTCAATGTGCCACACCTTGCACATTATTGCATTCTCATTCATTTCCACATTGGTACATAAGAAAGGATTTTGTTTCAAAATTTGGTTGCTTTTACTTTAAAAAAAAGAAAAAGAAAGAGAGAAGAGAAAGAAAGAAGAAAGAAAAAGGAAGGTCAGGTGGTGGTGACATAAGCTGGATACCCTGGTATACAGAGCAAGTCCAGGACAGCCAAATCTACACAGAGAAACCCTACAGAAAGAAAGAAAGAAAGAAAGGAAGAAAGAAAGAAAAGAAAGAAAGAGAAAGAAAGAAAGAAGAGAGAAAGAAAGAAGAAAGAGAAAGAAAGAAAGAGAAAGAAAGAAAGAAGAAAGAAGACAGACAGAAGCAAAGAAAGAAAGAAAGAAGAGAGAGAAAGAAAAGAAAGAAAAAAGAAGAAAGAAAGAGAAATAAAGAAAGAAAGAGAGAAAAATAAAGAAAAAGAAAGAGAAAGAAAGAGAAAAAGAAAGGAAAGAAAGAAAGAGAAGAGAAAGAAGAAAGAAAGAAAAAGAAGAAAGAAAGAAAAAGAGAAAAGTAGGAAGAGGAAGAGAAGGAGAGAGAGGAGATAAAAAGAAGTGACAAAAATAGGAGTCTAGCATAATTGTCTTCTGAGAGGCTTCATCCAGCAGCTGAGGCAAATAGGTGTAGAGAACACAGCCAAACAATAGGCTCAGCTGGGGGAGTCTTTAGGAAGAATGGGAGGAAGGATTTGGGGAGCCACAGGGATCAAGGACACCACAAGAAGACCTAAACAGTAAACTAACCTGAGCCCATGGGGACTCACAGAGACTGAACCACCAACCAAAGAGCATGCATGGACTGGACCTAGGCCACCTACACATATGTAGCGGATGTGCAGCGTTTTTCATATGGGTCCCCTAACAACTGGAGCAGGTTTGTCTCTGACTCTGTTGCCTGCCTTTGGATTCCTTTCACATACCTGGGCTGCCTAGTCTGGCCTCAATGGGAGAGCATGAGCTCAGTCCATCTATACTAGGGTTGGTACTCATGGGTCCTCCCCTTAACTGAGGATAAGAGGATGAGGAAATGGAGGAGGGAATGAGGCTTGGACTGGGAGGAGAGAAGGGAAGGACACAGTGATCAGGCTATACAGTGAATTTAAATAGATAAACTTTACCAGAGTGTTGGGTAGGGGGGAGAACTGCCAAGATGGAAAAGTAGTCTTTCCTAGATCATCATGACTACAAGCAACCTCCAACATTTATGAAATTTTGCCTAGTAATGTATAAATTTAAATGCTTGGCTCACATTTATAAAATACTTTCCACTTGTAATGAAACTTTGCTTTATATACAAGGATTATTTTGTTATCCACAGGACCAAGCAGAAATGACAAGTAATCAATTTGAGTGTCAATTCTGCACAGCATCCCTTCTTGGGAAGAAGTATGTACTCAAGGATGATAATCTATACTGTGTCTCCTGCTATGATCGCATCTTTTCTAACCATTGTGAGCAGTGCAAAAGACCAATTGAATCAGATTCAAAGGTGGGTATCAGTTCAGTTCACACACGCTCGTAGGTAACTGCTCTAAAATGCTCATTTTCTGTTTCGACTTTACCCACATTTCCTACTGTGTGCTCACATCACGTCAAGATTCTTGGGACTGTTTTAATGCATGTTTTAATCTCACATTATCCTTAAGACAACTTTTGTGTGACTGTATGTATTTGTGTCTGTACACACACACACACACACACACACACACAGTATTTTTTAGAATGAGTAAAAGATAAAAAGTTAAACTATTTCCCCAGAGTTTTACAACTAAAATCTTGAGTCACTTCTGGAATAGCTAAAGTGTGTAAAAATACATTAAAAAAATTGCAAGTGTAAAAAATTCAAAGCCTGTGCTTTCCAACTTAAAAATCTGCCTTGTCTCCCTTACCCCCCTAGACTGCACCTTCTTGCATCACACTGTCCTCTTCTTTATGCTTATTATTAGCTTTCTTTTCTTTCTTTCCTTCCTTACATTTCTTTAATTATGTGTTGTGATTTGTTTGTTTGAAGTCTCGATGGACAGTAAGATACTGCAACCTGAAAATTTAAATTATTCCATGTAAAATCTCTCTGGTAGCTTACAAAAGGAAGATAGAGAAAATTGACAAAATCCAGCAAAGTTATTTTTCAGTGGTCTTTGGTGGCCAATCAAACAAGCCCCAGGCTTATACTCTTGATTACCCAGAGTCTCCTTTCCACAGATAACAGTATTAACAGCTCTCCCTCAAGCTAGTGGCAAAATGTACTGGTACTGGGATCCCAGGAGTCTCCCATCTTGTTCTAGAAAATGGCTTGTTTTATTGCAGGCACATTTAATTAACTTTATTTACTGTTTGAAAGGATCTTTGTTACAAAAACCGTCACTGGCACGAAGGCTGCTTCAAGTGCACCAAATGCCATCACTCTCTGGTAGAAAAGCCTTTTGTCGCCAAGGACGAGCACCTGCTGTGCACAGACTGCTACTCTAAGGAGTGTTCCTCCAAGTGCTTCCACTGCAAGAGAACCATCATGCCAGGTGAGATCCAAAGGGAGCTGTCTGCACTGCCCCGGGACTGCATCTCTCTCCATGGAGCACCAGGAGCTCACAACACTGCTGTGAGAAAGTGTTCTTGCTTGCTTTCTCTGGTTCCCAATTCATTCATCTATTCTTCTTGAACGAGTAAATCACAGTGCTCTGTGATGTTGGAGTTTTATTACAGTGTTCAGTGTCTTCTTGTTTTTCATACAGCTTACTTCATAGAAACCTGTTAGCCAGAGATAACTGAAGGGTAAAGCCTGTGCCAGAGCACAAGTGTGAACAGCCTGCCTTGGGCATAACCAATGTATTTCAGGGATGGTTCATTGTGAAAGACCGGAGATAGTCCTTATTTTTTAAACGTTCATTTATGCGTGTATTTTTCTCTGTTGGGAGTGTCAGAGGACAACTTTTGTGAGTTCTCTTTTTCCAACACATGAGATCCAGCATTCAAACTTAAATCATCAGGCATAGCAGCAAGCTTCTTTACTAGTTTTGCCTTTCCACTAGACAAAGGCACATCATTTCATAGATTTATACAAACTAGTTTGAGGGACATTATTTTGTTTGTTTATTTGTTTTGTGGGGGTTTTTTTGGGGGGAGAGGAGAAAACAGTCCATGTAAATACCTTCACTTCAAAATTAATTAAAATGAAATTTTATCATTTCCCCTCTCAATCTCCTCCTTCTGACCCCTCTTAAGTGTGTCCTGTTCAAATTCACAGCCTCTTCTTTCTCAGTCTTTGCTGTTACATAAACACATAAGCATATATGGATATAAATACAACCTGCTGAGTCCCTACAGTGTTTCTTGCAGCTGTGTACTCTAGCACTGACCAGTTAGTGTTAGATAACTAATTAGGGACTCATCCCTAGAAAATACTAATACTTCTTCTCTCAGCAGCCAATAATTGTAGCTCTTCACCTAGAGACGGGGCCCCATGAAACTCCCCCCCATTTATCTTAGAACATCAGCTGTTGCAATTGTTCAGGTCTAGCTTTAAGCATCCATGTTGTTGATACTTCATGGGTGCAGCTGCCTTCTCATACTGAAAAGGCACAATCTCATAGCAGATTTCCTGTTTCTCTTAAAATCTTACTGCCCTCTCTTTGCCATGTCCTTTGTTTTTTGGTCCTTTCCTATCCCTGTGGACAGCAGCATTAGAGCATGAATCAATCAGTCCTCCTGACTCTCATTATCACTGTTATCACTGTTATTATGAACTCAAATAAATTCAGAAGCCATTTCCATAATATGTATCTCAGAAGTAGTGCCCTGGGCATTTAGAGTTATCCCTCTGATGATGGCTCAGTCTCATTTTATCTATTATTATCTAATTATGTATCAATTTATCCACGAACCATTCCAGTCTCTACATGCAGGACTTTCCCATTGCTATGCAGAGACTGCAGGAGTTTTCTGTGATTAGTTCACCCTTATCATGGCAGAGTGGTAGCGGTCTTTTCTCTAAGGAATGTCTCAAAGTACAAAATGTGGTTTCTCTAAAAGGGCAATCAGTTTATGACTATTAAAATATTCAAAATAATTGAGGTATGTTCTCCTAAAGAAAGCACAAGTATTGTCTGGCTTATACTAACAGGGTCTTATTTTGGGATTTAGGTTCTCGAAAAATGGAATTTAGGGGCAACTACTGGCATGAAACCTGCTTTGTGTGTGAGCACTGCCGACAGCCAATAGGAACAAAGCCTCTGATCTCGAAAGATAGTGGCAATTATTGTGTGCCATGCTTTGAGAAGGAGTTTGCTCACTACTGCAACTTCTGCAAGAAGGTAACCACTATCTAAAGAGGGTAAATCTATAGAACCTTCCAGATCACTGGTGTTTTAGCTACCTTATATATTTGGAATGAAGTGACACTATTGTGCTATATCTAATGTACGAAGTAACCTTTAAATTTCAACACATCCCAAACTAGAACTGTCATAATGAAGTTGACTTACTGTTTCTAGTAGCCATAAAACTTCACCTGAGACCATGGATCAAATATTCAGTAATACACAGGTGACTTGATCTCCCAGTCCCATTGACTGCTTTATAGAGACTTTGCTCTGGGACAGGTACAATTCTCTTTGCCTCCTAGAAGACAAGTTCAACCCATGTAGTATTTCAGTGTTTCCATTAAGTGTTTCAGAGAAATAAAGATCTGCACCTCAGAGTGCTTGAGGGAAGCATGGTACTAGGAAACCTGCCTACTATTTTCTAGTAAAAATCTCTTTCGGTCTTGGAGCTCTGTGTTTTCAAGGAGAAGATCGGTAGACTTACACAGGTGACAGATCATGAGAAAAATCCAGTTGGGATAAGGACACAAATCTCAAGAGCTGTGATGTCCTTTGGTTCCCACTTCAGCACAAAAGGAAGCACCCTCTCTCTTATTCTCCCATTCAAAGCACACTTTCCAGCAGAGAAAAGTCATTTTTCAGAAACAAATGTGGCCTATGATTTCATCTTCCATGCTTTTATGTGACAAGCAACTTGTATTCATCATCTTGATGAACTATGTCTGTATTTCATAAAATATATATTGATATTATCGAAGAAACTCTCGACACATGAAGCGTTATGAGTTTAAATGGCACTCTGAACTGCAGGAGAATACTGATTCATGACAGTGTATGGGTACACTGGCTCCTGAGTACTGTGGTGCATTAACAGCGTTTAAAGACTACTTGTATATCGGCATGTGGACAACTGGAAGGTCATCGCCATTTCTCCAGGGGAGTGCACAGGCATGTAGGCATGCGCACAGGCTACAGGACTCCCTGCTTGTACTGGTAATAATCCCAGTGTTGCCTATGGAGCAAAGTGAGGAATACACTTGTCAAAGTTACCTCATGATGGTGACTGAAAGCGACAGTGAACAACAAGTCAGGACATGATCTAACACCTGATGAGTTCCTCAGTTATTACTTTTCCAGAAATTCTGACTCAGGAAATGATGATACAAGCAACAATCAAACCCTGTGGAATGACCTATGACATAAGAAGCCTCCTGGCTTGCTAGAGCCAATGGCTTTTACAGCACATGCTTGGAAGTAAGATGAGAAGGCTTACCCTGTTGTTCTGAAACATGAACGAGACTTGTGGAAGTGTCATGTAATTTGTTGATCACAAGAGAGCCTTCCTTTCAGTGCTTCTATAAAGATCCGAGATGTCCAGAACAAAGTGCTGTGTTTCCCAGGCTGTGGAACACTGCGGCTTTGTGGAGGATAGGATTTGAAGGCATTAGAAGTGCATGAAATGCTCTTATTGGATTGCAGATAGAGAATGCCTCAGATTTTTTCCTCTTTAATTTTTTAATTACACCTTAAGAACAGCTGTATATAAACGATGGGAATCAAAGCTAAGGAAAGAGATTCTTTTCAATTCAAACCACAAACAAAACTTTGCTTAAATAAAGCCAAACTACTTGATGTCCAGGACTTTGCATTCCTCCCCTGCCTACCCCCAACGCTAACTCTGCTTTGTTATATTAGACTTTTCTATTAAGAAACTGGTATCAGAAGGAGGAAAGAGAAACCCTCCCCTACCTGTGGACTTGGGCTGGGGCATGCGTGGAGAAGGGAGAGGAAGGGAGGGATTGGGAGGGGAGGAGGGAGGGAACTAGAAGGGGGATAGAAAGTAAAAAAAAAAAAAAAGTGTAATTAAAAATAAAATTAAATTAAAATTAAAAAAAAGAAACTGGTAGCTCAAACTGGAAGTGCTTTGAAGCCAAATTCCTCAGTGTAAACATAGAGTTAATGTGTCCTTCAATTCCTCAACTTCTCTCTGCTGTGCTTGGATGGCGCCTTGGGTAAGGCACTGGCTGGGTAAGAAAGGCCTCGGATCCCCAGGCGCCACATAAAGCTGGACCTGGGGGCACAAGTTTGCAACCAGAGCCAGAGCAGGTGAAACGGAGAACTCAAACGTCAGTGAGAGACCCTCCCTCAAGAATGATAGAGAGCAATAGACAAACCTCTAGCCTCTGCACACACACACACACACACACAGACATTATTACTGTCTCCACTTTGCCAGAGAAGAAACTTGTTCTAAGTCAGTGGTCAGATATTAGATATTAGATTTCATCTATGCTTCCTACTTCTTCAAAAAGAATATAATCACGGGTAAACTTTTTTTCAAGTGTTCCAGAGCTTTGGGATATATTATTTTGCTGAAAATCCATTTTTCAAGTTTCTGATCTTTTAAGCACTGCCTACAAATCATTTGACCAAACAAATCAAAGGAAGCCTGACTTTGCCGGTGCCTGCTGACAGGCATTTGAAGTCAGTCGGAGGCATTTTAAATTGCTTTCCTTCACACATACCACTGTGCTTCTCATTTACTTATTCAGGACACTACGCTTTTTCACTTCTAGAAAAATTGACTCACACCAAATATTTTTAGTTTCTGCAAAACCTGATATAAGGTTAAAGTGTGTTTAGAACATTTTCTCACAAACCTGTATGATAAGAAACAATATGCCTGTGTTTGTCAGAAAAGACGGCTTAAAGCAGGGTTACATTTTAACAGCCAGTTAATTTGATTCAGATCTGTAGCGGCGGTATCTTCAATATCACCTTTACCTGGTCTTTGTAAGAAATGGGCAGGAACATATTCCCGTTTCCTCTGCAGCTCTATGAAGAGATGATTGCAAAGAAGCTCCACAGAAAGATTTAACCAATATTTATCAGCCTGGTTCTCACTGATAAATATGTTTATCAGTGAGATGTTTCAGCCTTTAAAGTAACACCGGGATTATACTGGTTTTTAAAAGTATGTCATATGGGCTAGCTAAGTGGTACAAAGTCTTCTTAGCTTGCACAAGGCCCTTGGGTTCAATCTCCAGGACTATACAAGCAAAATGAAGACCTACTATGTGTCAGGGCCTCAATGTACAATGTTACAGATTCTGTGACTCTGTGGCCAGCTTTTACATGGGTGTCAGGAATCTAACCTCTGTGTATCATTTGAGACCTGAAGCTAAAATGTCACCTATTAGCTTCAAGCACTTTCTTCTTCAAAGTACAATATCAATGGCCTTCCAAGATGGTTGAGCACACTGGGCAGAGAATGTGCAAGTTTCAGCACTATCTCTGTAGCTGCAGCAAGAAAGGACTCCTCATCTACAGAAGGACTGAGTCTGTGACAGGTAGAGGTGTTGAGAATATCCAGAAAGAGCCGTCCTTAATCCAGGACTGAGGATGGGTAAAAAGTGAGTCATTGCTCACAATGATGGTGCTTTTCAGCTCCACTCACCATCTTCACTACCCAATGTTCTCACACATGCTCTTATGCTTTCAAGAAAAAGTGCTGTTGTTTCTGTTTGTTTTACTGTGTTTGACAGAATTCTTCAAGGTCAGATACTGATATAAATATGGAGTGTAGAATTATGTTAACCCTAGCAAAAGACCTTTGAAGATAGAAATAAGAAGCTCAGAGAAAGATGGAGTAAATCAAGTATCTGCTCCCTTCGTGGTCCAAGGTTGTTCTGCCTCTTTTCTGATCCATTCTTGAAGAAAATTGGACACGTTTTCTGTTTTGAGGTTCTATATAAGCTCTATAACATTTGGCTTCTCATGTTGTCTTCTAAAAGCACACAGATGTTTTCAAGGAAGCACCCTAACACAATGCAGTAGAGAGTTCAGAGCTCCAAGTGTGGGAACAGAGAAACATGAGAGTGCCTGAACTGCAAGGGTATCCATGCTCATCGCCTTTCCCATGATGCTTTGGCAGGTGATAACTTCCGGAGGAATAACCTTCCGTGACCAGATATGGCATAAAGAGTGTTTTCTGTGCAGCGGCTGCAGGAAAGAGCTTTGTGAGGAGGCATTTATGTCCAGGGATGACTTCCCATTCTGCCTAGATTGCTACAACCATCTTTATGCTAAAAAGTGTGCAGCCTGCTCCAAACCCATCACTGGTAAGTGCTTCAGCTCAATGTGGTACCTCCATGATACTCTTAGAACTATGCAAAATGCTGCCTAGTTAATTTAGGAAATGAAATAAAATATTTTCAATCACATTTTCTTTTGAGGTAAACACAAGCAGATACTCACTTATAAATTTAAATTTTACATGGACCCCTCAAGGAAGTGACAGTGTATAATTTAGGTGTCTACACTGTAAAAAGTAAATACTAAACCTGTAGATACAGTTTCGAAGGATATTCATAGTGCAAGACAGGAAAACAAGTAAGTTAAAGGTCAGAGAAAGCCCTAATAAAGGAGCCCAATTTGGGGTGCTTTAAAGAATTGGGAGGACAGAAGGGATACTATTAAATCAAAATTCTACTTTCTAATTAAAACACAAAAGGTTTTAATTAAACCCAAGTATTCCATAAAATAGCTGAAGATGTAATTAGAATAACATAGAAAGGAAATTAATTGAATTTCTTTTTAAGATGATTTTAACAAATGTGTTGCTTCTTTCCCTGTAATCACCTGCAGCAACTCTTGATTATGAAGGAAAACAATATAGTAATTTACTAAAGAAACAAAGTACATGAGACACGGCTTGAAAACTAATGTAGATGACAGATCGAGCCACGCTAAGTGGCTTCTCACAGGGGTTGGAAGAGTGCATGATGTTTCTCCCAGAACCATCTCCAAAATGTTAATCCAGTGGTAAAAAGGCTGAAGCCGGCATGAGTCTTGAGAAATCCAGCAGTTCTCCTTCCAGTCCATTTACTGTCACTAATGATGTGACAGAACTGTGGTTCTGCTTCCCCTTGCTAGTGTTCTTACATCATATTTCATTTTTTAGGTCAGATTGCGTATCACCAAATTAAAGGTTATTCCCTTTCTTCCTCCAATTTCAGATCTTTGTGTGTGTGTGTGTGTGTGTGTGTGTGTGTGTGTGTGTGTGTGTGT